CCTTTCCACCAAAGTGCTGCCGCCCGACCAGCTCTACGACTTCCGCGGCCAGCCCATGCGCTCGAAACTCATCTCCCTCCACCTTATTCACACCCTCCTCAACAACAACGTCGCCGTCTTCACTTCTCCTCTGTGTACCATTACGAACTCCAAGAGCAACGAGCCCACGACTTTTCTTCAAGCGGTCAAGTTCTATTTGTGTCTTAGCATAACGCGCAACGGAGCCAGCTCCTTCGATCGCGTCTTTGATGTTTGCTGTGAGATTTTCTGGTTGATGCTCAAGTATTTGAGGGAGTCTTTCAAGGTGGGTTGCTGGATGTTCCACGTGGTTTTCGCCGCCTTGCTGACACTCCTCCAAGCTGGAAATCGCCGTGTTTCTCAACGAAATTTACCTCGCTCTGTTGGCGCGGCGGACAGCTCCCATCTCTCAAAAGGTGTATGTCGTCAACATCTTGAACAGATTTTGTGCGGACTCCAAGGCTCTGGTGGAGACTTATCTCAACTACGATTGCGAGCGCAGTGTAGACAACATTTTCCAGACCATCATTGAGGACTTGTCCAAGTTTTCAACAGCCTCAGTGCCGATGACGCCCGTTCAAGAACAGCAATACGAGGAACGAAGCGCCAAGAGTACTTCAGGAGGCGAATGGCAGTTAAGAGCCATCCTGCCACCGCCCCTCTCCGTTGCACAAATCACGCCTCACACCGAGCCTGAGAACGAAATCCCAAAGGAGTATGTCATGAAGCGGGTGGCTCTGGACGCCTTGGTGGATTCCTTGAGGTCACTGGTGAACTGGTCCGCCGCTGTGCGGCAAGACACCAACGGGGTGAGGCCGGATGGTGAAACCAGAACTTCCGAAGATGTACGTCCTTCGATCGACCCGAGCATGAGCGACTACCCATCTCGCTTTGAAACCCCTGCGCCCTCGACGCCCGTTATGGAGGACGATCCGGCGTCACTTGAAAAGGCCAAGGCGAGGAAGACGGCCATGAACAACGCCATCAAGCAGTTCAACTTCAAACCCAAGAGGGGCGTCAAGCTCCTGATTGAAAATGGGTTCATTCCCAGCGACAGCCCACAGGATGTAGCCAAGTTTTTGCTTACCGAGGAACGCCTTGATAAGGCGCAAATTGGTGAATACCTGGGAGACGGCGACCCCAAAAACATTGAGACCATGCACGCTTTTGTGGATGCCATGGACTTCACCAAGAAGAGATTTGTCGATGCACTGCGGACGTTTCTCCAGTCCTTCCGACTTCCTGGAGAGGCACAAAAGATCGATCGTTACATGTTGAAGTTTGCCGAGCGCTACGTGATGGGCAATCCAAATGCATTCGCCAACGCTGACACGGCCTACGTCCTCGCTTACTCTGTCATTATGCTCAACACCGACTTGCACAGCAGCAAAATCGCAAAGCGCATGAGCAAGGAAGAGTTTATCAAGAACAACCGCGGTATCAACGACAATGCTGATTTGCCGGATGAGTACTTGTTGGTCATCTACGATGAGATTGCGAGCAATGAGATCGTTCTCAAGAGTGAACGTGAGGCGGCGGCTGCGGCGGGCGCTGTGCCACCACCCTCGACTGGCATCGCCGCTGGCTTGGGCCAAGCTCTGTCAAACATGGGCCGAGATCTACAACGAGAAGCCTACCTGCAGCAATCGGAAGAGATCGCGTTACGATCAGAGCAGCTCTTCAAGACTCTATACAAGAACCAGAGACGAAACGCCCAACGGTCTGGTGTCAGGTTCATCCCCGCTACATCTTTTCAACACATTGGGCCCATGTTCGACGTCACATGGATGTCGTACTTCTCAGCCTTGTCCAGTCAGATGCAAAAGACGCATAACCTTGAGATCAACAAGTTATGCCTCGAGGGAATGAAGCTCGCAACCAAGATTGCATGCATCTTTGACCTGTCAACCCCACGGGAGGCCTTTGTTTCCGCCCTGAAGAACACCACCAACCTGAACAACCCGCAGGAGATGATGACCAAGAATGTGGAGGCCCTCAAGGTCATTCTCGAGCTTGGACAAACCGAGGGTAACGTTTTGAGATCATCGTGGAAGGATGTCCTCATGTGCATCAGCCAACTTGATCGCTTGCAGCTGATCACAGGTGGTGTGGACGAGAGTGTCGTTCCTGATGTGTCTAAAGCGCGTTTCATGCCCCCGCAGCGGGAAAACACCAGCGACTCCAGATCCTCTACCCAGTCCAAGAGGCGAGGTGGACGTCCTAGATCTGGAACCGGCCCGCAGGGCTTTTCCAACGAGATTGCACTAGAGAGTCGCTCGGACGAGGTGATCAAGGCAGTTGACAGGATATTCACTAATACGGGCAATCTGAACGGAGAGGCTATCGTCCACTTTGCAAAAGCCTTGACGGAAGTCAGCTGGGACGAGATCAAGGTATCCGGTTCCAATGACTCCCCGCGAACATACAGTCTGCAAAAGATTGTCGAGATTGCCTACTACAACATGACGCGTGTTCGATTTGAATGGAGTAATATTTGGGACGTGTTTGGGGACCATTTCAACCGGGTGGGCTGCCACAACAACATAACCATCGTCTTCTTCGCCCTAGACTCGCTTCGACAACTGTCAATGCGATTCATGGAGCTCGAGGAATTGGCTGGTTTCAAGTTTCAAAAAGACTTTCTCAAGCCATTCGAACATGTCTTGGCGAACTCCCAAAACATCGCTGTCAAGGACATGGTGTTGCGCTGCTTGATCCAAATGATCCAGGCAAGAGGCGACAACATCCGCTCAGGATGGAGGACAATGTTTGGTGTCTTCACGGTAGCTGCACGTGAGACAAACGAGAGCATCGTGAGTCTTGCGTACGAGAACGTGACCCAGGTCTACAAGACCAAGTTCGGCGTCGTCATCTCACAAGGTGCCTTCACCGACTTGATTGTCTGCTTGACCGAGTTCTCCAAGAACATGAAGTTCCAGAAGAAGAGTCTGCAGGCACTTGAGAGCTTGAAGTCAATCATTCCCCGTATGCTCAAGACACCGGAATGCCCACTGTCTCAAAGGGGTCAAAAAACCTCTGGCGAACACATGGCGTCAGCAGCGGATACACTGCAGAGATCACAGAATCGGACGTCTGTGGAGGAGGGATACTGGTTCCCGGTTCTGTTCGCCTTCCACGATGTACTGATGACGGGCGAGGACCTTGAGGTGCGATCAAACGCGCTGGAGTACTTCTTCGAGGCCCTGCTCAAATACGGCGGCGAGTTTCCACCAGACTTTTGGGACATTCTCTGGCGGCAGCAGCTTTACCCCATCTTCATGGTGCTGCGGTCGCGACCGGATCTCAACAATGCACTCAACCATGAGGAGCTGTCTGTCTGGCTGTCCACCACCATGATTCAAGCACTCCGGAACATGATCACATTGTTCACGCATTACTTTGACGCATTGGAGTACATGCTGGACCGCTTCTTAGAGCTTCTAGCCCTCTGTATCTGTCAAGAAAACGACACCATCTCCAGGATTGGCAGCAACTGTTTGCAGCAGCTCATCCTGAAGAACGTCACGAAGTTTACAGCAGAGCACTGGGCCAAGATTGTGGGGGCATTCTGCGAGCTATTTGCACGCACGACTGCTCATCAATTATTTTCTGCCACCACCATCAACTCAACAGCGTCTATTGACATGCCTCCAAATGGACTGGAGTTTTCGGGCCCCCTTAGTCCTACTGAAACGTCCCTGGAGGAAGATACTTTGAAAATCAACGGGAGGGAAACGAACGGGGGGGAAACGAACGGCGAGACGTCCGACGACAACTCGACTGACGCAAACCTCGGAAGCATCAACGAGGATGACCTGAAGACACCTACGGCTCCGGTCCCTCCGCAATCGCAACCCCCGTTGGAGGAGTTCAAGCCAACGTCGAACCTACAGCAGCAGCCTGTTGTTGTCACAGCGGCTCGTCGACGTTACTTCAACAGAATCATCTCCAGATGCGTGTTACAGTTGCTCATGATCGAGACTGTAAACGAGCTATTCAGTAACGACACCGTGTACAACCAAATCCCGACGTCGGAGCTCCTCCGCCTGATGGCACTGCTCAAGAGGTCGTACCTTTTCGCCAGAAAATTCAACGCGGACAAGGAGCTCCGCATGCGACTCTGGCGCGAGGGTTTCATGAAGCAAGCCCCCAACCTGCTCAAGCAAGAGAGCGGAGCGGCCGCTACCTACGTCGCCATTCTCTTCCGCATGTACGCAGACGATAGCCACGAGCGCACTGCGGCACGCGACGCCATTGAGCAGGCGCTGGTACCCCTGTGCAAGAGTATCATCAAGGACTTTGTTGGTCTTGAGGAGGACAGCCAACACCGCAACATTGTTGCTTGGCGACCCGTGGTAGTCGATGTCCTCGAGGGCTACGCGGCCTTCCCCGTGGACGCGTTCCAAAAGCACATTAAGGAATTCTACGTCATGGCGGTAGAGCTCCTCGGGAAGGACCTTACTTCGGATCTCAGGACGGCACTTTTGCTAGTGTTGAGACGCGTAGGCGAGGTCGGGCTCGGCATTGAGGGAATGACCAAGGTGGAGGTAGACCGAAGGAACAGCATCATCAGCAGTGCTACGGAAAACACAGTTGACGGGCCCGAGAGCGATGCCTCGGCCAGGATGAGACGCTGATACTCCTCGGAGCTTGGAAGGGAGGAAACATAAAACGGCAGAGCACGCACATGAGGATGGCGTAATGGATAGACTGTAGGAGGGGGGGAGGGAAATTCATTTCCATGTAAAATTACTTCGACCCGGCTCGGATCGCCGAGCAGGGGGTTTTTCGCAGTTCCGTGTCCATATTTGAGGTATTCTACTCACCGTCCCCCATCTTGGTGGGCCCGTGATCGACCAAGGTCGACTATTATTAACAGAGGCTGTTTTTTCACCTGTTTGCCGGTCATCATGTCCTTTTATGTTCCCCCAAACGCCTTTCTTGCCCCTGGCTACTAAAATTCAAGATGCGTAGCATGTGCCTCAAGCCAATACGTCTCTGATGAATGTCCTTAGTGACTCGGATTCCTCGGGCACGGTCCGATTCGGCAGACTACCAAGAGCATTCTTCAACAAATTATCGTCCCTAGTCGCCTGCTTCACCAGATCCTTCAAGATGCCCATTGTCCGGTGCGAGTGCTCCACCACGCGCATGACGCTGAGCAGCGTCTCGAAGAAGTCGATCAGGTTGAGGTGCATGAGGGTGTCGGTCTTGTCCACCATGTGCAGCGCGGCGAGCTGAAGGAGGCCGACCTCGGGGGAGCCCGTCAGCTCTGGGAACTGCGAGATGCCGACCTCGATAATGTTGAGGGATGCGAGGCGCGGGAGGAGGCGGAGGATGCGGCCTTGTGCGAGGGAGAGCTGGCGCTCTGAGAGGGTGACGCTTTCGCCGTCGGCGGTAGGGGACGGGTCCTGGCCCTTTGCGAGGGAGAGGACGAGGCCGAAGAGTTCTTTATCGTGGAAGATCCGTTGCCACATGCGGCCTTGGCCCGGCGCTCGGCGCCTGACGATCTCGGTGGCGGTCAGGGTGGGTAGGCTGCTCGGCGGGGGGAGCTCGCAATCTATGTCAAGGAGGTCGCCCAGGACGCGGGAGGCGCGCTCACCGACCTCGACTTGCGGGGCGGACAGCCAGCGGCGGAGGAGCTCTTCGACGACGCGGGGCATGAGGGAGAGGATTGCGGCGTCGGAGGGGGAGGCGGATGCCTTGGCTAGGATGGCGAGGGCGAGGAGGTTTGCGTGCGGGGAGGGGGAGCGGAGGGCTGTTATGAGAGAGGATTCGTCGGCTAGCTGGAGGGTCTGGGTGAAGGGAACGGGGGAGAGGAGTTTTATTGTGAGGGAGACGATTTGTTTCGGGTCGTGGGGGGTGGTTTTGAGGATTGTCGTGAGAAGGGGAAGGAGGCGTGGGAGGAGGGGGGGGATATTTGTTTCTGTGACGGAGTGTTAGCATTGGAATTGAATAAGAGCAGCGGTTGATCCAGGAAATGTCCACAGAGAAAGGGGAGGAAGACGGACCGTTGAGTTGAAGCTCTACATCATCGAGGAGTTTTGGCTCGAGGGGTGTTTCTGGCGAGGCGACGAGGTCGTCGAGGTGCTTCTCGAGCTCGGCGAGGCCGGATATGGGGACGGAGTTGGCGGACATTATGGGGATAATGGGTTCTGTCATCGGTAGAATGTCGTTGTTGTAGATATTGGACGTCTCCGGGAATGGGTGGTGTTTGCGACCGAATTGTGAAGCTCGGGGAGCTGGTAGGTGATGATCAACGGGCGGCGAGCGTTGGAAATGGCGGGGAGAAAGAGACGGGAGAGAGCTCGGTTTAAGGGTCCCCGGACGTTAAGATAAGATAAGGAGGGAGTGACAGGCTGCTGGGGTTGCGTGGACCTGCGTACGTGTAAGCGCTTCGTACCTTTAGGTGCCTTGAAGGCACGTTTAGGAAACCACGGGTGACGACATGGATCTGAAGATGCCTAACAGACTATTGACTATATCTTTTTCATCAGTTATACTGCCTCGTTTCCGGGCTCTAATACTGAAGGCAGTACCACAGTAGAGGGAGACCCGGAGCCGTGAACCGCACAGCCGCTCCGGGGTGACACCGGTGCCTGGCAGCGCCGGCAGGCGGGGCACAGCGCGTCACCCACCGCACTGCAGGTGCGGGATAGACCCCGCTAAAAAACTCAAGGCTGTTGATGCACAGTATCCGTAGCGCCGTCCCAAACCGAACCGCAGCTTGGGTTTCTCGGAGGGGGAAAAAAAAAAGAGAAGCTGACTCCAACTATCACCAAACACCAACGCATCCTCGCCCGCTCTGACACATCCTTTACCCTTCCTCGAGCCACAACCCCGACAACACCTTCCACTGCTTCGATATTCCTCCCAATCGCAGTCGTTAGCTTGCGGACAGAAGACAGACTGTGCGCATAATGTCGCGCGGTGGCAGAGGTGGTGGCCGCGGCGGGCGCGGGGGTCGCCAGGGCCCCCAGCTGTCTTGGGACAATGGCGAACATGCCCCTGATACACGACCTTCAGAGCTCTTCCCCGTACGTACACACACACCACGATTCGTTCTCAAGCCCCGCGAATTCGAAAACTGACAGGTGGATCTTGGAATAGGCCTACGCAATTCCAACAGCGAAACCCGTCACCGGCCTCGAACAGGCAAACGTCAACGCCTTCCTCCTCTTCCGCCGCCAGTTCCAGGACGGACCCCTCTACACCCGCAAGCGCACCTGGGGCATGGACCCGACCAACACGAGAAAGCTCTACGGCCAGGAGCAGGTGAACGCAAATTACGGCGTGCGCACCCGCGCCACGGCGGACCCCTTCAACGCCGTGCCGACCTACTCGCAAAAGTTCACCCGCTCCGAGCGCGCTCTCCCCGATTTCGGCGGCCGGCCTTTCTGTAAAGAGTTTTTTCCGCTCGAGCTGCACGAGACGCTGGACGGGGACGACGTTGCGCCGGGGGAGAAGAGGAGGGGTGGGGAGGCCAAGAGGTTGAGGCTCAGCAAGATTACGGCGCTGCCGACGGCTGAGGATGTTTTCCATGTGCATGCCGAGGGCGACGAGGACGCCGTTGGGCCGGATGGGGCGAAGAAGAAGTTGGAGGCACTGGAGAGGATGGGCGAGGCAGAGGGAGAGGGTGCGGAGGAAGAGTGGGAGGAGGGCGCGGAGGAGGAGCAGGATGTCGAGTATGACGATTCTGATGCGGGTGACTACGATGCTGAGAATTACTTTGACGACGGGGAGTTTGGCGAGGATGACGGCGGCGGCGACGACGAGCATGGTGGTCGGGAGGGATCCTACTAATTGCCTAGAGGCCTTTTCCTTTTGCTACACCTCAGACCAACTGTCACAAACAGACGAGACACCAGACGAGAGGCATCACGGGGCGTTTTTGGGCGGATGCACGGCTTTGCTGAGCGGATTAGAGCTCCCTGATACCCCATCAATTACCTTATATCAAGGTTCAGACTACAATACATAGACACATTTGCTTTTCACCGATTCGCATGTGGAGATGTTGAAGGGGGGTTCTCTGGGTATCAGCAGCCGCCGCGGCGCATTGCTTCTATTTCTGTGTTGTATAGCTTCGAGGACCGCTGCATATGGTCATCGTGCTGGGACTAAAAATCGATGCAGGTTGCACTATATGCATCCAGGCCTTTGACCAATCTCGCGGCGCCTGCTTTTTGTCAAGCTTCAGCTGTGCGTGTAATATCCATTTCAGTTCGGGATCTCAACATCCAAGCATGAACAACCTGTTCTGTGGCCATCATCGCCCGAGAGCTATCAATGCTTCATTTCGCCAATGCTGCCGGTATATAATTCTTTTCCCCAACCTGAACGCCGTTTGCTTCCATTGACCGTGCCCTCCCCTTGCGTACGTATCGACAAGACACTTCCGCCTCGTTTCTACTCTCATTTGGTGGGATATTGGCGCTGGAGCTGGGTAAGCTTTTCCCGCACGTCGACAATGCTACCCGCAGCCTCGTAAATCTTGTCGCCCATCATCTTGATCGTCTCCAGCAAGTCGAGGACCATGTTGAAGGCTGGCACCTGGGTCTGGTCCCGCAGGGACCGCACGCGCTCGTAGAGGCCGTGCTCGACGCCGGGCATGTGCTGCTCCATCTCCTTGATCTTCTGGACCTGGAACTGGCTCAGCTCCTTCAGACGGTCGGCCTCGTTGGAGAAGAGGGTGAGGACGTCTTCCAGATTGCGATCTTGGTTGCCATTGGTCGTGTTGCCCCCTGGTCCGCCGCGGGTGAGCCAGGTCTGGTGGTAGTGTGCGGGCAGCTTCAGCTGGTCGGCGCCCGCGAAGGCCATCTTGGCAATGTCCGCGTCGGACTTGACCAGGTCCTTGAGGTGTCCCAAGGTGACAATATCCTCGTCCAGAGTCGTCTTGACGCCCTCGTACTTGCGCTGGAGCCAGTTGACGTCGTTGGTGAGTTGTGCAAGGTCACCGCCGTGGGCGGCCATGAAGCCTCGGATTTCGGAAGCGTGCGCCATGAAGCGTTGGATCATGAGGTCGCAGTTCTCCATTTCGGACTGAATGGACTGTTCGAGATCGTTGAATCGAGTCGTGCCCTTGATATTTGACATATCTACTCGTACGCCAGGAACGCTCTGCTGTGTCGTCGACTGACCCATAGTTAAGCCGGGAGCAGAACTTCCTGCCGGCTGAGATTGGCCGCTGCATATCTGGTTAGCCCCTGCCTCTACGTCATCTGACGATGCGACTCACAAAAGACCACCGGGCTTCGGCTGGGTTTGAGCTTGGCTCTGTCCAAATAGGCCGCCCCCCGTACCTTGGTTCTGCGGGGTTTGCTGTGTGTTGCCGCCGCCAAAGAGACCTCCTCCTGTAGACTGTTGTTGCTGAGGCTGCGCTGTGCTCTGGCCAAAGAGGCCGCCCGTCGCCGGCTTGGCCTGATTTGCACCAAAAAGACCTCCACTTTGCTGCTGCTGCTGCGGTTGTTGTTGCTGGGTCTGAGCCGCTCCAAACAATCCTCCGGTCTGCTGCTGAGGCTGTTGTTGTTGAGTCTGGTTCGCTCCAAACAGGCCGCCGCTGCTTTGCTGTTGCTGCGGTTGCTGGGTTTGAGCCGAGCCAAAGAGGCCACCGGTCGCTGGTTGTTGTGGTGTTGAAGGCTTGTTGCCAAAGAGTCCTCCTCCTGCCGTCGAAGTGCCGCCGAAAAGTCCGCCGCCCGTGGCAGGCTGTGTCGTTGCCGTGGAGCTCCCAAAGAGTCCTCCCCCAGCTGCGGGAGTCGAAGAGGGACCAGCACTAAAAAGAGTGGCATCGGCGTTAGCTATAAGAAATCTACGACAGGCACAAAGCAATAAGACTCGCAACTCACCCTGCATTGGCGGCACCAGTGTTGATGCTCAAGCCACCAGCGGTGGCGCTCGCAGATCGTCCAAACATTTCGAAGGAGACCTCGAGTCCGCCGAGTTCGAGTTCGAGTTCGGGATATCCAAGTGTGCTGTTGCAAGGAGCAGGCAAAACAGTTCTCGAGGCCGGGGATGGGTGGGAAACTGGCGTCGGTTGTTGATGGCCTTGCTTGGTTGAATTATTTGTTGCTGCGGGCAGCTGCGCGGTCGTCAACGCGAAAGAATTGGCGGCTGCAGCACCTGCTCTAGCGCTCGGGCCACGGGCAGCTTTCAGAGCTCTCCCAGCGATTCTTGCCTGGTCCGCCTGAGAAGAATGCGACGGCTTCTCATTGGCCAGTCGGTCCACCATTTCACCGTCCGCCGAGCCCCGCTGTGCAGCCTCGATTTCCATGGGCTGTGGCTGATGATTGGCCAATGCTTCGGCCTGTGGCACCTGCTGCTGCCCGCGCGAACGACCCCTGCTGAGGTGTGGCCGCCGCGACCTTAGCGGCCCTCTCAGCGCGCTGCCAGAGCTTCTAGCTCCTGGCGCCGAACCGTTGAATGCGAAGCAATCCGTAAAAGTTGCATCACCAGTTCCACCACGTCCGCCTCCGCCTCCGCCATTACTACTCCCATCACCCCTTTGATACATCTCCAACGACACCGTAATACGTCCACGCAGCGACAATGGACATCGACGAGGATGACGATTTCTACGCGACCGAGGAGCCCACCGAGCAGACAGCCACAACTGCAACAGTAACTGACAATGCTGCTGCTGCTGCTCCAAAGGAGCCGTCGCCCAAAGTAGAGGCGGCAGAGAGCAAGACAGAAGAGCTAGAGGAGGGCGAAGAGGAAGACGAAGGCGGTGCCATGGATGAAGACGAAGACGACTCGGTACCTACCCTACTTCCCACCTTTCCAGGGCCTCAAGCTCCCGTTTTGTATCTGTGAATCGGCGACTGACAGTTCTGGCGCCTTCTTCAGGATATCGACATCATCACCGAGCGCAAAGACGGCACAAAGGCAGCACCCCCGACGTAAGTCCCAAAATCCTTCCACCTCTAAAACCATGAAACTTTTGTGCCTTTACTCACACAAACAATAGACAATCTCGCTACAGCGACATCAGAAACATCCCACAAAGGTCAGCTTCCAACGACATGGCGATCAAAACAGCCCCGGTCAAGGAGGAAGACTCCGCGAGAGCCTCCCCCTCCGACCTCCCTCTCGGTGTCCCCAGCGCCGACAAGGCTGCCGCTGCGGCTTCCAAGTCTACGATCGATGTCAACGCGAACCCCGACTACCCTCCCGTCGGCAAGCCCATCACGGCGGTCAATATTGACGAGGGTAAGAACCACCGCGTCGCACCTTCCAAGGTGTCGCGTAGCTAATATTTTACGCAGACTTGACCGAGAACGAGAAGCCCTGGCGCAAGCCCGGTACCGACATCAGCGACTACTTCAACTACGGCTTTGACGAGTTCACCTGGGCCCTCTATGCCGCCAAGCAGGAAGCCGTTCGCGGAGAGTTCAGTGGCGACGCCATCGCCGCCGGCCAGAAGAAGATGATGGAAGACTTTGGCATGATGATGATGGGCGGAATGAACATGCCTGGCGGAGGTGCTGCACCCGGCGGCAGTGCGCAGGCTGGAGGCATGCCTGGAATGTCTGGCATAGAAGGTATGCCGCCCGAGATGCAGGCCATGATGCAGCAGATGATGGGTCAGGGCATGGATCCCAGCCAGATGGACCCCTCCACCATGTCGGCCATGTTCAGCGGTATGCAGGGCCAGGCTGGCAACGCTGTCGGACAGGGCGGACAGGGCCAGAACTTCAACCAAGGCTTTGGCGGAAACCAAGGACAGTACGGCGGCTACGACCAGCAGGGCATGGGAGGCGGCAATCGCGGCGGATTCGGCGGCAGAGGCCGTGGTGGACGCCGCCAGTGGTAGTCGCTCTCAGCTTCATCTGCCTTCATGTCTGTTTTCATCGATACGCTGGTTATGTACGTCCAGCCTGGCCGGCGTTTGGGATTTCGGTGGTGAGGTCACACAAGGTTTGCTTAGGTAGGAAGGTTCCGGGAACGGGTCACGGAACGGCAAAAGCAGGCATAGAGATACCCTGACAAGTCATCTGGCATTTCTCTCAAGAATCGTGTTCCTTCCTGCGTACAGTGACTTTTTTTTATACTCATGACGTCGTCTATTGCTTCATTTCCAGCAGTGCCTCTAATGACATCTGAAAAATGTTGATTGTCTTCCGATTGAACCTACCTTCATCTGGCTATAACCGCCAAAGACCTTAAAAGACATCAGGGAAGATCTCTTTGCCGGTGGTGATGGACAGCTCCGACCGGTTGACGTAGTGTCGGTTCGCGTAGTCGTCCGCGGCATCCAAGTTGATGCAAGTGTGAGACGACACGATGTCTACGTCAGCGCCGCCACGCGTCTCGTTGTAGGAGTACGTGTTGAAGGCGAGGTTGGCGTTGCAGAGGATGACCTGCTTCAGGAAGTTCGCGCAATGGTCTTCTACACTGTCAGCGACTTAACTCATCGGCAGATTGCAGCGGTGGAAGGGTTGACGTACCAATATGGGCGTGTTGCCACTTTGGATCGTTCTTCATCTTCAAATGATCTTCCTTGTAGTAGTCGGGGTAGGTTTGCTTCCACATCAAGTGCTTGGGTGCCCATCAGTCGTGTTCGTCCATCGTTGATCCGGTGATTTGGACTAAGGTACTTACCACACAGTGCAATGCGTGGACATACTCGAACACGGCGAGGGTGCCGTTCTGAGTAGAAGACGAAGCTCTCAGGGGCTCTCGGGTTCTAAACTCGGACTTGGGAAAGTCTGCGTCGGGGACGAGCATGAAATGGCCTAGAAAGCTGAGCGACTCTGGACGTAAAATGAATGGAAATGTGCCCAGTTACGGTCGTCGATGAGCTTCTCCCAGGCAGCGTCAAGCTCCGGAGATGGGCCTGCAGTCTCGGGCTCCTTGAACATCCTCGGGCCCCGAATCTCTTCGAGATTTCCTACATCTGTTAGGCATTAGCACCAGATATACGGCCGCGCTTGATCCTTTCTCTCACTCGTTCGGTCTTTGTGGGAGTGTTCTCTTCCGAACGAATGGTGGACACCAGTAGCGAGAAGGAGAGCAACAGATACAAGCAAAAGAAGGAGTTGAGAAGCGCTTGGCAACCAACGACGTGGACTTGGCTCTCGAGCCTGCTCCAGCGTGTCAGACAAGCGCTCAGAATCTTGAAGATGAGCATAGGCAGTCTTCTTGCTTGGGCGAACGAGGCCGACCAAACGGTTGAGACCATTCATCGTGAGCAACAAGATCTTGGTTTCAGTTCAAACTCTCAAGTGAAAATACTCGGTAGATTCTTTGTGCATACAAGAGCCTGGGCAGGAATGATTTTGAATTTGTGGAAGGACAGGGCACCCGGAAACCACTGGCATACACTTTCCTACATGCATCTTGGAGGATCCTAGTTAATAACCGCAAAAGAGGAAGGTACGACACGGCGGCTAAATAGGCCTGACAATTTTGATAAGCAGACTGTGTTTGCTTATTCACGTCGATCGTGACGACAAGGGAGGCGGCCAAAAGCCATACTGTCATCTTGTTTGCGAAGCTCATTGTTCATCAGCGATTATCGCGACTCTGCGGCTTGGCATATTCCGACGTCGCCACAAAGGGCGGTAAACACGGACTTCGTTTTGCATTCGACGTTGGTTCTGACTTCGAGAGAGACTTTTCGGCATGGCGTTGCCGCGTTGGCCAGGGAATAACTCCTTCAACGAATGTTTGTCAGCTGCGATTGGCTTGTTGGAAGATTTTGTCTGTTGGTTGATGAATGATAATGACACATTTTGGTTTTTAACCCTTGGCCGGATCTCTGGTGCCGGCACTCAAACGGTGTTACGGTGGCTTTGAGAGACATGTAAGTGTTCGTCGCATGAGGGATTAAGCAAACGTCATGGCAGACCAGATGGACCATTGAAACGGTGTTCCAGGGTGTGAGGGGCTGGTAGACTGTCTCGATTATCTTGCCCCAGGCGGGGAGGAAGTTTGCAAAATTCAGACACTTCCCGGGCCCGGGGGGGGGGGGGGGGGGGGGGGGGGGGGGGGTGGGGGGGGGGGGCGGGGGGGGGGGGGGGCGCGGGCCGGCGGGGGGGGGGGGGTCCGCGGGGGGGGGGGGGGGGGGGGGGGACACAAAGCCAATCGTGGGCCTAGAGGCAGTTTGCTTGTCAATTGTAGAGAACTATGAATGCAGTTTGGTCGTGTTGGAGATGGCTCTTCATACCCAGGTTTGATATTGATGGCTGCTCGAAAGTGACAAGTGATAACTGGAATTTCCATACATATCAGAACAATGAAAACAACCTCACATGAGAAGAACCAATCGTTCAGTTCATTTGAGTCTAGAGTAGAGCGACATGGCTCACTCATCTCGTAAGCCTGCTCAAATCCGTCGAGTCTGCTTCACACATGAAAGCTTCAATCTGCCATTCGTCGTGGAGCGGATTGTCAATTTGGTCACACTCTCAGCCTCTGAACCTCATCTAGCTTTCCCAAGGCATCCTCGCTACGATCGTAGCCTGAATCCATCACAGCTATAATGGATCGAGACTCATCTGGATTGGGTGTCAAACTATTGGCGGCAGAAGTGAACGACTCGGAGCATGGCCCGCTCTGTAGCCGCTGCGAAAAGGCCATCACTGGGGAAACATCGTCTTCGAGGTTCTCACGTTTTAAGCTACTGCTAGTCTTTTTTCTGTGCCAGATTCCTATTCTGTGTCTGAGCTTCCTTGCTTTTCATACCTTTCAGACCAAAACTGGGGACACATCCCAAGGCATCGACCAGCAGGACTGTAAGCATCTTCTCAAAGCCGCATATCTTGGTCTTATCGTCTGATATATGCTTTCCAGACTTTACTCTCGAGAACTACAACACCACTGAAAAGCTTTACAACATCGTCGACGCCGCCGATAGGTCGCCTGAGGCAGACGCATTTTGGCACGAAATGCAAAAGAGTAGGCAATCTTCTCCTCTTGAGGCAGTTGGCATACTCAAGACTGACTTTTGGGTCAATAGCGGATGGAATAGTCGCAGTCCACAGCGAATGGGCAAAGCAAAATGGCCTCCCAGCCACGGTTGCTTACCCTGACGACTCGGATTACAAGGTTTACCAAATCAACGTCTTTCACGCGCTCCATTGTTTGGTACGCGCGAAAACAAGTCCCAAAATTCTTAGATGCCTACCGCTGACACAATCAGTACCGCATCAGAAACAGGCTTACGTCAAAGATCCCGCTCGAAAAATGGCCTCGCAACGACATCCACACCATGCACTGCGTAGACCACATCCGGAACGACTTGATGTGCCACGCCGACATCTCGCTCTCAGGGTCAGACGAGTACGTTTCCTTCAACTCGCATAGCCACCACCAGAAATGCAGGGACTTGGGCGCCCTACAGAAATGGGCGAAACAGCACGGCTGGGTTGGGTATAAGGAGTACTTGGAAGGTGATGTCGGATATGATCCGATCGAGGCGGAGCGTGTGAACATGGCCACAGCCGGTAAGGGGCATTGGAATAAGGCGCAGAGCAAACTTGATAAGGAGACTGGGAAAATTGAACTTTGGTTTGAGGAAGATTGAATCAGTACAAGCTCCATGAGGACCATTCATTCGGGAAGAAGAAATCAAATACCTCGGCCGCAAATGTTTGCAACAAAATAGATGGCACCAAGACTCTCGTGATCAAACAATGTTGACAAAGCAAGCTTGCCATGAAGTTTTCCGGTTTGATTCTAGATAATTTTGAACCTGCCTAAGGTGCCTAAGGTTGGCATAGTGGAAGGGACTTCGAGGAGAAGACCGTCGGCTTGGTCGGGAGACGACAGGAACAGATCTGAACAGCACCTTCCAGCAGGGGAAGAAGATTCCAAGACCTGTTAAATTCTTCTGTGTAAAGATCAAAGGCAAAGCTTCAATGTTGTGAATACGTAAAAAAGAATCAAGAGGACTCTTGTCCAGCATCAATGTACAGTAAACAAAGGATAGCAATTCCAATGTCTCAAGAAACATGTGTTCCGAAACCTACGCAAAAGCATCATGGACGTACGGTTCAGGCTCGAAGGGCTCCAATTGTCAGACAACCTTAGTTTTTACTCCCAATTTAGAGGTACATTTGGATTGATGTTTCTCGCTTGACATACACATCGGCAAACTCCCAGCCTAGATTTACTAAACGATTCATACGTTGTGTTCTTGAAGTGCCCCGTCATATTTTGGCCTCCAAAAGAATCACTATACGGAATGAATGTCAGTTTGATATCGCTGAACCCATAATAAACAGGAGATTTCACAAATAATCTCACCTTGTCAATGGGTTAGAAGCATTCAACGCAGTCAATCGAGGCTTCTGTGGAGGCTTCTTCGACTGGGCCCTCGTCGCCGAACGTGGCGATGGCCGGGCTCGCGTATATGAATCTGCGATCGAGACCTGCCTTGGGCTGGACTGGAGCTGCAAGAACAGAGGCCATTACGACCACGATTGGGAAGATGATTCTGTTGAAAAGCATTTTATGAGCGAGTAGGAGATATGAGGTTTGAGAATGGAGGTAAGCCGGGGAGCTAACTAGAAGAGTCTCTGGGTTTTGATCGTAGAGCTTGAGTGAAGAGATTGACAAACGGTTTTCCCGGCGTGAGAGAATTGCGACCCTTTTATGCTATGGACTGAGAGCTTGAAAAACTGTAGTGTCATCCATTTGTAAAGTAAACGAGGCTGTGACCAAGGGTTGCAGCGCCATGCATCTCACGTTGCCTCCACGATTCAAGCTTCAAGAGCACTCTAACATGACAAGCTTGGAAGTGATTGATGTGATGTTTGTGGATTGGACGCAAACTGTAGGGCAATGGATTGGACTTTGAGAATGTTCAGAGCACGTCCTTCTCCACGTCGGGAGACGCGGGACCATGGCACGCTCGGGTTCTGCCAGCCTGCAGGTTCATCCAACCACTGGTAAAGAGCAAACAAGAGTTCAATGAAGATGGCAAACATCTGAGAATACATTCGGCAGTCCCAACTTGTTCATGCGGGCGTTGTATCCAGGGGGCCGGGCCCGTGACCCTTGTCCAAGATCGGGGAAAGGGTTGGAGGAAGCCAACGGCGGTGCTACCCATTATGCATACCAAGACTGCCAACAGCGATTGTCAAGCTTACCAGAACTGGCAGAACAGAAGAAATAGCCCTGGATAGTGATATATGCCGCTCATCATGGAAAGATCATCTGCCGGCGCTACGACTGCCTTTCACTAGTCCAGGGACCAGCACCGTTGTTGATCATTATCATCATGTTTGTTTGCTGTTAAGGGGATGGGCAGACAATTGAACATGTGGACAACCAACAACATGAAGAGATAGTGCAAACATGATATTTGATAGCTGATATCTAGGATTGTTGCCAAAAACAAGTTGGAGATGTGGAAAAGAGAATCTTCGATTGTCCGGACTTATTGTGCCAACCTCGAACCCCAGACCATTTCTGAGCTCTCCCCGATCTTGTCACCGAATCTGTTGCTTTCCCTTCCATTCTTGTCCCATCATTATCATATAACATATGCAACCTCTTCTGTGAGAGTATCAGACACCTTTCTGCATATCATATCACGAAAGTCGTCAAAATTGTTTGAATCATCGGCTTCTGAGAATCATGGCGAATTTCCACGATGGTAGAGAGGCTGATTCTGCTTTTGAAAAGGATTATAGTCAACGTCAACTCGCGTCTCCGGTGGACCGCCGTCGATGCCATATTGCAAGATTCCTTCCTTGGGTCGCTCTGAGCACACTCCTCCTGATCGCATTAGGAGCATTCGGCCATGAATTCTCTTTGTTGAGCATCGAATCCTCTCCTCACGCTGCTCTGAAACACACCTGCGGCTCCACTGTCGCCGAAGCAAAGGCGAAAGGCTGCGTTTTCGACGTCATGGCTTACGGCTGGGTTCCGTCCCAGTGCTACAACGGAGATCTTGTGAGCACGTACAACGCATACGACATGAGTCCTTGGGCATTCGACAGAAACTTCACCAAACCAGCGACTGAGCAAGTCCTTATGGCTGGAGAGAGAAGGATACTGTATACGGACCTGCGATTCCACCAAGAGCACTGTTTTTACACCTGGCACAATCTGCTTCACAGTGTTGAGCATCAACGGCCGTTGATTCATAACTTGTCTGCATCGACCGAACATCGGCACCACTGCAAGGGCTTATTCTTGCACGGAGAAGCGCCAACGGGCCCTGTTGTCCCAGCTTTTTTTCATTGTGTGGATATGGAACAGCCATTCCTACTTCGAGAACACATCTATGCGCAGGAGTGAGGTTAAACAGGTTGGGGAACCTGTTCCGAGGTAAGACCCTTTCACGTTGGTCCAGACTGTGAGTGACTTCGGCTTGTACTAGGATAGACAACACTCATCTGTATGTTGTCGGTGCTGGTTTCCGCGATTTTGACGCGGCTCTGTCACGTGGCTGGCTTGGAGACGCGTCAGAAATGCCGCTCGCTCTCATTATTTTTTCGTTGTGCCACAGCTAGCTTCCGGTGTAAATTCACCTCTATTTCAATATCTCCATAACCTCACTTTCCCGACTTTGGCGTATGAATAACAGCATTAGTACTTCATTTGCTTCAGCTAACCTAATGGCTGTGGAAAGCTCAACCCTAAACACTTCCCTCGACAAAATTCTCCTTGAAATGATTGCGAATATATTCCGTCAACTGCCTGACTTCGTGTCCCTTTTCACATACATCGTGTCTTGCTTCATTATGCGAGACGTGTAACACCGCGTGAATAGGAAAAAAACACTTTTTCGGTAATCATCAAACATTTACCATATCTGACGCTGCCCCTACTAGACGGATCGTCTGTGTATCACTTCAGGGGCCCCGCCCTTCACCTGGGACAAAGTTCTCACCGGCTTTTCGCGAATTTACCGAGAATCGAAAACTTACCGAGCTCATTCAGATGAGGATGATCCCATACTACGGATATCTAGCATTGAAAGCACAGTGTACTTGCTGCACAAAACACGTCGATTGCTTGATGACGCTCGACGCAACATATCAGCAGCCTCTGTTCTTATGGACGAAGAAGTATACATGAAGTAACACTTCCCTCTCCAGCCCTTATAAGGTACTTATCCAAGCCGACAGGAGAACAAGGAGATTGGCAAAATGTAGCAAGATTATACATCCCGAGCTATGGATCACTCGGGCTACTCCCATTCCTGTCTAGTCATCCCGACTCTCTGATGTTGTCACTCTGGTCTAAGACATGTCGATCCACGTGAGGAACGAAACAAGGTCCCTCCTTTGATCAGACAGCCTCTCACGGAGTGTGAGACGGTCCTTCTGGGGGCCAGCCAGGCGGAATAGTTCCCATCGCAAGACTTTGGCTACGTCGAATGCTCCTTACCTTCTTGAATCCTTCATCTTTTAGGTTGTATCCAGACACAACTCCACGGGCCCTGGTCGCGTTGTGGGAAGAATCTATGCAATTCCCAATCGGGAAACAGCTGCAGTTCAATTTATTTCATCTTGTATCTTCAACTAGTATCCGCTATCATTGATCACTTGATAGATGCCTGGTCAAGGTGAAGCGAAGCTGGACCCACATCCCCGGGCCCCTAGTAGAGTACCAGACGACGGTGAAGTTATTCCCAACGATTCACTCAACGGTCATGCGGCGGTTTCCTTCCTTCGTCAACCTTTAAATAGAAGCATTTAATACGATGGACTATTCTCTCCCCTCAATATCTTCCTCAACCTCCTCCTCAACCTCTTCCCCAACCCGCTTCACGGCGACGCTCTCGATCTCCCTACTCTTTTGATACTCCCGACAATTTCCATCTCTACAAAATCACCAGCCATCATGTCGGACTTCGACTTCTTCGCTGATGGAAATGCGCCGGGCGCTTACCATTTCTTTGATGAGAATCTCATGGACGAAGTTATGTCTATGACGGCCCTTCCAGCGGCCCAGATGTCGCCATTTCAGGCTGATCTCGATGTAATCGACGATCTTACGGTCTCTTTTGCGGATAAGAAGTGGATGTTTGATGTCCTCCTCAGTAAGTTAGCATTTGTGGCATTAGGTGATGTATCTGCATGAATCATGGACTGACCTGGTCTTCCCAGACGACATCATTCCTTACCGCTATAACGATCACTTCCGGCTTTTCCCCGAAATCGGGTTTTACCGAACCCTCTTGTATAACCGGCCTAATCGTGACGACATCTGGGGTCTCGTTGAACGATTTCACGAATGGATATCAAGTATTGCCGCATTCTCTCCTACCCAGACAGACGAAGTCATTGAGGCTTTGAAGCTCCGCGCACTCTTTCACGGCTGGCCGGAAACATTGAGCGTACCACCTGATTCCGTGAATCAGTCGGTCAATGAACTTTCAGTACCATGGGAGCAGCATCTGGCAACCTATTCGCTCTCTACAGCCTCAACACCAAACTCTGTGCCGGTTAATGGGACAAGAGCTGAATCACAGTCGTCATCATTTACAGATCATCAACATCCCCTTTTGAAAGGAGGGTTGGTTGTTGCCCCAGCCTTTCAATACAAAGGCATAATTCAAAACATGGAGCAGTCCAAAGAAATGGACGATGCCTATGAATGCCATGTGAAGCGTGCGACTGGGGCAGCTCCAGAAGACGACGCTTCATGGCCTGCTACTGCAGTACAGCAGCAAGCATATGTGCAAAAGCTATTTGAGAGTATTACTGATCTGAGTGATTTCTTTGAGCTAAGAAAAGCTCGCGAGCGTCTTGGAAAGATTGCTGGTACTCAACCAGAGCTTCCAGTACCCCAAGCAGCAGAAAACCCCAGGAAGCGCCGCAGAGGCCATGATGGCCAAGCTGCTGGTCTAGATCGTCCAGAGAGACCCAAGGGTATGAGCAAGACCGATTGGGCTCTTGTGGATGATCATAATACTCCAGTGGATCTTTTAGAGGCGGTAATTCATCATCGAATCTCTGGTGTTGAAGTTGAGCTTATATGCTGGAGGCTTCTGGTACGTGACAACTCATTATGTGCGGAGCTGGTCCCGTTTTCTGACTGAAATTTTATCCAGCGCTACGCTATGAAGCAGCAACAAGGTTTCACGATGCGACCTCTTTGGTCTGGGTCGAGAACAGTGTCAATGTGGGAACATTTTGACACCTTTTCAGAGAGGTGGCTAGCGATTTGTGAAAATCTTCAGGTACTCTCATAAGAACACCTCACCAATGTTTTATCTTTTCTAACGATTCGATAGGACTGCAAGATGATCATACATTCCCTTACTCGTGCTGACTGGTTCTGCAAGTATGCTGGTGCGCCTTCAAAGGAACGAGGCGTAAGTCCACACTCAGCTACTAACCACTGATCCAAGTCTAACTCAGTAATAGGCAAAATTGAGCAACGATTTACTGAATGGTCGCCGGGATATTCAGAATCAGGTCGGGCGAGACGTGATAAAGGAAAAGACTTCAAGACAGGACTGGACAACGTCGGACAATTTCGAGATTCGCGATAAAGCAGGCCAGCTTGTCTTGAAGGGTGGACACCTTGGCGACAAAGAACGCAGGCAGCTTGCCGTTAGAAGTAGGGATGGGGGCATATCTTGAATACCAGCGGTCAACATTCGGATAATGTCTGTTGTTATATATTCAGTCTGGTGCTAGCGTTGGGTCAACTGTCTGTTTTAAATATGAGGCAGAATACTTTTGCAAAGAAAGTTTCGTATACAGTCTCGCAACATTGCATTGTTCTTTCAATATGGTCATGAGTTCAACAAAAACATACGTCCAGGTATTAATTCATTTGGGCAAGCAGAAGAAGATATTATTTCTTTCTTTATGGATGCAATGCAATGATTCGAAAATAGACTGGAAAACCTGCGGGGGATCGTCTTTATGAACTGTTGAGCTCAGATGACCCTGATGTAAAATATGCTCTGAGGGTTAACCCTTGACCTTCTGCTTAAGGGGTTATTTCTAGTGTATTCATTTTGAAGAGCAGGTTGAGAGCCTCCCACAGGCAAGTGAAAGAAAAAATTGGTAGCCCATAATCGTTTTTTGGACCGTTGAGACTTCGAATGCAGGCCCAGATCCTGGAGCAAAATTTAGAATCCAAAGCTTCAAGCTTCGGTACTATCATCATAGCCTGCTCTATTTTGGAATCTCGAACCCACTTGATTCCTCAAGACATTTTAATACTCGATCAGGCCATCTGAGCTAGAAGTTTCAGTTCAAACGGCCAGGATTGAGGTCCTTAAGCTGCAACTTCGGTACTTCTTTCGACGTGGAGAGAGGAAATACCACCAGATTACAAGTGTGGATGCAGTGAAAACGCCTGTGACTAGGAAGTAGATCCATATGTATCCTGACACAACTGACCTTTTATCCTCGTTAGGAGACCAATCAAAAAACGTCATCGAGAACAATGTCTTAATGGTTCGTCAGCAAGATTCAGAGCTGCAGCCTTTGGGGAAATGTCAGAAATCGAGAACAAGATGTACTCACTGCAAAGAATGTTCCGGGCAGGAATATCATCGTCACCAAAGCTATGGACCGCATTTGCCTAGAGTCACGGCCTGTGGCTGTTGCAATATCCACATTTGTATCACCCTGGGCCTATAGTCCCGATCAATATTGAGGCAAGGATACATGTATGTTTATGGATATGTAGAGACGGGTTCACACTTACCCACTGCGTTGCGATCGTCATGCCTTCCACACTCATCGTACAGTCTTGAATTCGGTCCTCAAACTCCTCGATGAGAATTCGAAGTCGGTCTGTGATCATTTTGCTCGTGGTATCCATCCCGTAGTCGCTTTGCACTCTCGGTGCTTCGCCACTCAACTTCTCACTCTCACATATATTGAGTGGACTTTCCACAAAGTTCATAGATTCAGCGATGTGGTCGTTCATTTTACGAAGCTGACATTTCCAAACTCGAAGGCTGTTGCGAAGATAGGTGGTATTCAGCCATGCTGTTCTTCGAGAATGCCTCATATCGATCTTGTCCTCTTCTTCAAGCGTGTCGCCTTCGACAGGGTTTCTGGTGCCTAGCTCGAATATCGCCCCTTCGATATCATCTACGGTCTTCTCAACAACTTTGACCATGCGATCCCTTTCCAACTCCGCAAATATGCCTGGGAGAATCATGGGGTGCGAAACTCGGTCTTTCGCCCGACTCAGCCGGTTGAACACATTCTTCTCGACCTCCGCGGTACATCCGAACAGTATCGCAAAATTCAATTGGCTGTGGGGAAAGTAAGTCACAGTCAATGCCATATCATCTGCCCAAGTGTTGGAAGATCTGCAATGGTAGACTGGGGTCATGTTTAGTTCAGCACATTGTCATTGGCAGGAGGTGATAATTATACACACCGATGGCAGGGTAACTGGTCGAGTCGGATTCTTCGACTTTCATTGAAACTCGAGTTTCGGAGAAGAGAGGAACATCAGCTCGGTTGACGACTCTTGATATCGAATAATGCACGAAGAATCTTTCGCATATTATCCTGAATGTAGCCTCGTCGAAAGGTAGCTGGCGAACCTCCCTTCCACCTCCCTTCAAACCGTTATCAATGTGAAAATGAAGTTTTTCGATTTGAATGCCGTGGTTTGATACAGTTTCATTCTTAGGCCAGCTCAAGGATCGATCTTTCTCATTAAAAGTGCCTTGATGACCGCGTGGAGATTTGATGAAAGACGAATCTGGCTCTCTGGATGCCAGCTTCCCGATGTCACTCTGCGGTTCACCCGGTTTCCGAGCAAAGCTTGATTGCAAGATGCTCGTTAGACATATGGATATGCAGAATGCGCCAGGGTTACATACATGAGAACAAGACCTGAGTCCTCATTCACGGAGGGGGAGTACTAAGTCAAGTTTGTGAGTGTGGATTTGATTCCTGCGGCGGATCGAAGAAACCTACGTCTTGAAGCCATGACTTCCAATCTTCGGCTGTCTTATGAGACCAGACGACTGGCCCCTTCTTTGTTATTAGCATTCCTCCTGATTCGTACATCCAGCAAACAGCGCTACTCACACAGTCTTTTGTCAATAATTTCACAACAGTCGTGGCTTGAGGATTATATCGGAATACTCTCTCAAAGTCAGCCATTTTCAAACCTTCTTCGTCTAAGGGCCATTCCATGATAGCTCGACTGATGCATTTACAAGCGTCTTGTCAGGACGTCAATGGGGATAAATGAGGTGGTGATGCAAGAGATTGAAATCATGCAGGCTCCTGCAATACGGTGTCGACCACATGGGGCGTAGGCGAGACGAGCATGAGATCTTCGCCAATATGCAGCGTACTTGATTGTGGTAGGGCAAGGCGACTTCCAAGGTCGCACACCACGCCATTTCATTCCTGTTTGTGTAAGCTCCGCCACCGCCTGCTGACATGGGGGGACACCCAAGCATTTGTTGTCCGGCAGAGTCGTGAAGGGCGACCCAGCGAGTTCAAATGTCCGCCTCATGAGCAAATTTGATGGTCACCAAGTGTGGTGAAGTGTCGTTTGGTTGGCGGCGGAGGCAGTGAAACCACATGGAAAGTGGTTCGCCACGGGTCTTTGATGGTTGGCACAGAGGTGCCGCGGATGTATACTAATAGAACAGGTTCCTTTTCGAGGCAACGGAAATTTTGCGGACAGTGAGACGTAGGGCTTGCCACATAACTTCTTCCGCAGCCGTACGTAAACACCACATTTTGTTCAAGTCTCTCGTTTGTTCTTGTCAAGCGCACTGCCTCATCTTGTCATATCACCAGCAGCGCTGGGAGGAGGCATTCTCGCGCATCTGACGTCAAGAACCCAAGAAGGATTAATTCATTGTCCCCGCATGTACATTGTTTCACAGTGCTGTTGTAAATGGCTGAATGAGCTGGCAGGTAGCCGGCTGGTATGGTTGGAAGCGACAAATCTGGGCGAAAAACGCAACTTTCGGCTTTCTGCAGGGCTTTCCACGAAGTGTGCATTGCCGCCTAGGCTGATCTCGGGTTTCCAATGAGCAGACCGCCCCTTGGCCTGTTTCCTACATAAATCCGCTTTGCGAGACATCGTCCATTTCTAGGTAGCTTTACGTATCCATACTTTGCGGACCAAACCCTTCTCACACCATCACGCTGTACCAACCTACCAATTTGTCTTGCCCCGAGTCTAGACCCCTGCGCTCCATGCCAATGGCCACAGAAGTGTTCCGAGGCAGATACACCGACGAATCGGTTATATCACAGTATCTCCGAGTGATATACCCGCGTCAAAAATGCCAGATTTCGGTATGTGACCGGCCTTGTTATACGCTGACGGTTTACCTGTCAACCGAGGCCATGTAATAATGTTTCTTTGCTAACTAGCTCTTTCCATAATCGCAGTCAGAAAGGGGCCGCTTTTTCTGTATCGTCCCAAGAAAATTGACACAGGTAAGGCAAATGAACACGACCGTCCAATCTTGGAGCGCTTGATAATTAATTGGCATCAAGAATGAGAGGGAGACGATTCTGAGAGCGATTGAAGCGGACCATTATGCCCAGATGAATTGAAGATAGAAGGAAATTTTGACAGTAGACAGGACAGTAGACAGGACCCCTGACCAGACAGACACTTGCCAAACATGTTGCCATTAGAATGTGGAGCAGGGGAGGGCGATCTCGAGAGAAATAAAATCGGCGGCCTGACGACCCAACACATGAAGTATTACCTAGAAAAAATTCCACCCTTCACCGAGACCCGGCGGTCCGTGTCTGACCTCCTCTATACCTGATGATGTTGCTGAGGTGACTTGTGTCGAGATCCGCAATATGCTGTAGTGCAACCTCGTTCAGATGAGCGCGCACTGGCAGATGGGGTTCAATAGCTGTGGTCGATGTGCTGGGGTTCATGCAGTAGTCCCGTCCTCCGCAGGCGATTTCAATTTCTTTCAATTTCCTGAATAATTCAGGTGCCGCGATCCGCTTCTTCGGGGGGTTTTCAGACTGAACGATCAACATCCTTGTCTGTATCACGCCCAACATATCGTGGATGTACTGCGAGCATTTCTGATGACTCCGGAGCCGAGCAATTTCCTAAAGTACTAAGTCTTAGTGATGTTGCTCTGTATCGGTGTATACGGAAATACTGACCCTAGTCACACTCTCCTTGATGTCCACTGCATATTCATCTCCATTTACGCGAACGATTTCAAAGTATACAGGCGTGTCGTGACCGTGAATATAGGGAGACATGCGATTTCGTTTGAAGGCGTCATATCCTTCCCAACCTTCCAGAATCCAGACCATGAATTCGAGGAATAGACATCCCAGTGTCCAAATGTCAAAGGATCTTGACACTAGACCATCATCACCAGCAATATCGCACTCGGGAGGTCTGTAATTGGGAGAGACTGGTATTCTTGCGCCGGGCCTGTTTGATCGAGACTCTATTCGGTGTGTTCTCGTCAGGCCAAGGTCTGAAAGAACCAAGTTGCCTCCGTCCGAAGAAGAATTGAACCAGAGCACATTCTCGGGCTTGATATCGCCATGTCTACCGAATAGTCGCTTGTTGTTTGCATCCAACACTTTGGGATCGTGTATGTACTGGAGGGCGTCGGTGATGCCACACAATTGCTTTGCAACCCACTTGAAGAGCTGGTGATCCCTCGCGACGCTTGCTTCTCGGCGCCAAAATTCCAGCAGATCGCAGTTGGCCCAAGGAAATAGAAGTAAATATTCGATTTCTCCACCTATCTGCCGAGCAAAGGTAGCAAGCAACGTGACAATGTGGCTATGTCGGCCGCCGAAACGCTTCAAGTGCTTCACTTCCTGCTCAAACTCTTGTTTGTCCGAGGTGTAAAGTCTTTTGAGGGCAAAGCAACTGGGTCTTGCCGAAAGCTAGAACACTAAATATCAGGCTCTGTATCTGAGTGGGAATCTTGACAGCCAATATTAGACTCATCCTTACTTTTAGGAGGGTGTCTTGAAAGCAATGTTGCCAATGATGGATAACAATTTGCTTGACTTCACCAAAACCGCCACCTAGAGTGACAGCTGACCCGTTGGCAGAGGCTGCTGAGATTCTGTTTGGTATGGATACCCAGGGAAGTACTTGCTTCGTTTCGAAATCGTAATGCGATACCTCCCCTTGGGTTGGTGTCTTGTTCAGAATGGGAACCAATAATTGGTACTGACAGTCGTGAAAACCATTCATATGCTGAATTCTCCAGCCAGAAAAGGGGCGATCAGAACTCGACTGGTAACTCTTGATCTGTTCCAGCGTCAATGGCAAACGAGAATCGCTGAGACCCTCAGCCACAAAGCTTTTGATGTACCTAGCCTTATCTTCAAAAACAAGTAGGGCTAGTATAAGTCGATACTCTTTTTTATCTGCACCGTCACCATAAATCGTTTCAGTCCAAGAACTCCGACATATGGCTTCCGTTTCACCGGGCTCGACTTGGAGTGCACCTTGTACAATTAGCTCCTGGACGACACCTGAGACAGCCTGTCGGTCAAAGAGGTGCTGGAAGAGCTTGGATGGCCAAAATGACCAGGAAGCATCAAACGGATCAACCACTGCATTCTCATGCAGCCTTCGATCGAGATGAGACTGGATATTGCCATCATTTGGAATATTTTCCAAAAGGGGCTCGGTTGGACTCACCCACGCCGAAACCAATGACATGTAATCAACAGTATCGACCTGAGGCTCGTCGTTGATGCGGATGGATGGAGGTGCCACATGAGCGGGAGGCGGCTCCAGTTGGAGTGCCGAACTGGCCATAGTCTCGACAGGGTAACGATTGGCGCGGAAAACAGTCTGGCAGAATTTATTTAGATGATGGGATGAGCAACGGTTGCAAATACAGCGCCTATATGGGAATACCCGGCAGTATCACAGCTGGTGGTATTTAAATACTAGCCGATTGAGCTCTTACATCTCCAGCAGCAAGCGCCGGTTGGGATTTACTGAGTACACCGACACTCACCCCGTAAGTCCGGATAATTTCAAGCACACCATCTTTCATGCTGGCAAGATTGTGGGTGTCAAGGGTATGATAAAATGACAAGCAGGCTGCCTCGCCGGTACCCTCAAGATCAGCTTTTCTCGAAAGCCTCAGTGTCAATGCTTTGGCGAACACGGCGAACAAGATTATCAACAACCAATTTCTTCACAACGATATAAATGTGGGTGGTGGCTTCATTCACATTATTGGATGCCTGACACGTCGCCTACCGGGGGGCTTTCGCCAAGCGTCACACGGTTGATGAGGTGCATGGACTGGCCCTGTAAAGTCAGACGCAGGCTACAGCCTGATTGACCTCTATCTCTTTTTTTCATTTTGGTCTTGAACTTGGAGGTTGCTTCTCGAAAAACGAATGTAATTACACGGTGTTGGTGGAAAGCACATGATTATTGATTGTTCCGCTTGAGAAGAGAAGAATTGCCACGTTTGACCAACAAATTGAACGCAGGGTACAAGTAGAGTTTAGCAACAAATGCTGCCTTAAGTCAACATTGCTTCTCCTGGCATCGATTCATTGGACGAAATTCCCGTTCAAATGAGCTCGCACTTCTGGGAGAGTCTTCCGGTAATCGGAGAATTAGATACGCATCATCCAACGGAAACGCAATGACTCCCACTCACCATGTCTAAAGGTTCCTGACACTCTTGTGCCTTGATACAATACACATTTTGACGTGTCTATATAATTAAAAGATGAAATCTTAGTAAATCTCTTGTGATTTACGATAGCTTCAAGATGTGTGATGGCTGCGAGATTGCAGCAGCATAATATCAAAAACTTACCTCAACGGAGAATTTTCCATCGCCGTATAGTGCGGTAAGGAGATTGGAAAGCCCATGAGGGCTTCTGACGAGTTTACAGTGAATCTCCTGCCACCCGCCGCTTTCTTGAGTAGACATGACTAGATAAACTGTTGCAGATACTTTTGTGGAAAAAAGATTTCTAGAGTTGAAGAATGATGGTTTTAAAAGAAAGTTGGTAGGGAATAGTCGCTGTCAATCAGTTCCGCCAGGTGGAAGTGGAGATGGGCAACATCGAGACTCATCATGGCGGCGTTCAAACGCCAACCTTTTATCGTTTTCTTCTACTATACTGGAGCCTGATTCAGTTATTTTGAGAATTTCAGGATGATGTGACAAACTGCCAGACTGATGCGGAGGATTAACTCCGTGATGGATAATGTGCAATTTTACTACCCCTGTTTTTTCCACTTCCGTTTGCCGCCTTCCCTCTCACCGAATATGAGGCGTATCCATCAAGCCGACGTCTGACCTCGATGAAATGCGATCGATAAATCTGCCTCCTTGGCATGAAACAGCCTCAGTAAGGTAAGCAGCTGCCTTACCTTTTGGCGGTGGCTGCTCCAATCCTACACCGCCTGAAACTGGCTTTCGGCCACTGACAATTTGGCTGGACGTGATGAAAGCGTAAGCTGCGCCTTGGATAATGGCCTGGGGTTCTGTCTGTTATGAGACGGCCCCCACAGCCCTTTCGAATGTACACTTGTAGCCTGATCCTGACTTGGTAGCTGTGTTCTTTATGTCCTCTTGGATGTGAGGCTATGCTTCAGGCCACCACAGCCCCGAGTCTAGCTCAATTTCCACCGTCAAATGTGTACAGAGTAGTGTCTTGATTAAATCGGCGGGACGACATCTCAGGTATCCATGGATCAATACATCAGGTGGCTTCTGCCTTACTTGAAGAGTCTGGTTCATCGACGAATTGATGAAACATTTACGCCCCTGTTCCTCAAGATCTTTCCCACCCCAATCAATCTTACCGAAACGGTGCGGTCATCCAAATGCACACGCAAAATAATAGTTTGGACTCGAACGGGAGCCTTAAACTCGAACACGCTGTCCCAATTGTGAGTCGACTCTGCTTTGGGCATTCCTACATAATTCTCTTTTCATCATTTCTCTAGCTTGGGAAGAAGTGAGGAATGAATTTGCCGTTCCCGACCGGTTTCTATTCACTAACATCGCCGTCGAGGTGCCGCCCCGGGTACATATAGAGATAGCCGCATGGAAAACGGATGCGGCATTCTCTAGCAGCGACCATGTCACTTATCCTGCGGAATCACAACATACCCTTCTCTCACGACCGTCTCCCACTGCATCCAGTAACTCCAAAGCCGCTCTAGACATTCCGGACGGGGTCAGTGCTTATACACAGAACGATCGAGGCTATGCTGCGGCCGTAGAGGCTTTCAATTCATCTTTGCCTGGCTCGGAGGAACTTCCGAAAGATTCGGAAAATGATTTCAAGGGTATAGGTTCCCATTTCATGAATGGCGTCTCAAACAACATTGGCGCGACTGCAGTCACATCTATGAGCCTCGAAGTCAGCAACTGTCTCTCGTACTACGCTGGGGACGAAAATGAACAAGACTGGCTTCCTGTGACCGATCTACTCAGAATTTTCACAAGAGACTCTGTGCTTCAAGCCTTGAAAGAGGCTTTGGCCGACGAAGCACCATTGGAGTATACTCTGCAGGCTTATGCGGGCAAAATTTGTCCTGATCCGGAAGACAATCGCAGCGTCGGCTCTCGAAGTGTATTTGCCATTCTTACGCATCTCGGGAAGGTGGAGGAAATACGGCAGTTTATTGACCGAGACCTGACGGACGACGACTTGCCATTTACTAAACGACCTGGAGCAAAGGACCTAATTGGCCGACTCTACCCAAAGAGTCTTACTGATGGAGAACTGGTCTGCTGGGACTTCGGAAGTCAATGGCACCGTAGCGACTGGACGGCCTTCAACACATACCAGAAGAAGATGCGCTCGCCATTTTTCTTGCTTGAGGACAGCCGCAATAGAATACCACACTACGATTTGGAGGCGGGAACCGTTCTTCCGTTCATAAAGGACTATGGACCAAAAGAAACGACTCGATACAGTCAAGTACGACGTGTCAAAATACACCCGGGACACTTCAAGGTCTACAACGTAATTTATAGCCCTCGGCCTTTCATCGGAACCAAGCTAATCAGAAAGTCAGGATACGAAAGAAAAGGCTCCATCTTTTGCTGTCAAACAACTTTTGCCTGAGCAAGACAATTCACAACACACTCGGGAGTGCAATTTCCGAGAAGAAGTCAGGGCTTTGTCAAAGATTGTCAGCCATTCGAGTCACGACCATGTCATTAGGCTTTTGGCCACCTGGAAACAAGGTGATAAATGGAACATGCTCTTCCCTTGGGCCGAGAGCAATCTCAAGGAGTACTGGTTGAACCATGACCCGCCAAATACACCAAAGTCCCTTCGATGGGTAGCGGCTCAGTGCCGTGGTCTCGCTGAAGGTCTGCAGAAGATTCACAGAAGCCCGTCTGAACATGCTACAGATTTCGGAATACATGGGGATATCAAGCCTGAAAACATCCTCCTGTTTGTGAATGAGAAATACCCTGACGGAATTCTGGTGATCAGCGACTTCGGATTCACTCGGTTCCATGGCCGAGATACTCGATCCAACAAACCGGCTGTCGGATATAGCCCGACGCATCGAGCACCCGAGGTTGACCTTCAGCATCCTATTTCTAGGTCTTACGACATATGGGCTTTGGGTTGCGTGTTTCTCGAGTTTATCGCATGGTATCTCACTGGAACAGACGGCGTCAAGACAGACTTCGTGCAGCTCAGAGTGAATGATGATGTCGGGGGATATCCAATCAAGTACGACAAATTTTTCAACATTCGGGTCACAGGAGACGGTAAGAAAGAGCCAGAAGTGAAGTCTTCAGTCCGAAAGGTAGGTTGAACTGCCTGGAACGCCATCCTTGAGATCAACTTTGGAGTCACGGCTCTAACATATTGTAGTGGATTGATGAGGTACGAAACGAACGACCATGCAGCCAATACTTCAAGGAATTTCTTTCTTTCATACTCAACGACATGTTGTCTGTCGACCCCAAAGGCCGCGCGAAATGCGACAAAGTTGCCACTGAACTGAGAACTTTAGAGTCTTCTTTTGCTTGGAATAGCACGGATTACTCGGAAGACCCAAGTGCTCTCGAGGCTGAATCATTATCTCCAACCAGAGTCGCCCTCGCTAAACATGAAGCTCAGAAACATGTTCCCAGGTCTATCCCCTCGATGAAATACCAAGAGCACAATGAAACCTGGGGTCCTTGGAGCGAGCGTTGCTCGAATCCATCAGAAGGGAAGAGCAAAAAGCCTGGGTCAATGGCGAACATTACCGCAGTCCTGCCAGCTAAAGTTGAAGGGCATAGTGAGGCGACTAGAGATGAACAGACCTTTGGGACAGGTATGATACGGACCGAAGCATCTGCAGCAGACGCCGAGAGGAGACAGCTCATCCTTGGTTCTTCGAGATTCGATGTGCAAACTCAGCCACAAGCACCATTTCCGATGACGAATGGGCCATCGAAGACTTCGCCGGATATTGCGGCGAGACTTGAGACTAGAAGTCAGCCAAAGACATATCCCCACAGTACTACGGCAGATAGCGAAGAAACTAGGGCAACTGGCGTTACTGCGGAGGTTCAAAAAAGTCCAGGAGATGAGTGGACTGGGGCGATTGGGCCAGGTCCTCCGCCTCCTCATCAGGTACGGGAAGGTGACTCGTTTATGCTGAAAGCGATGCTCAATTGGTGCTTTCCATGCTCTCGACCCTAAGAAACAGCGATAAGTATGCTTCAGCATCGTTGTGATACCCCGATCGGCTATCTAGTTCTTAATAGACTCTCGACTTATCGCGCTCAGTCCATATCCCTTTACTACATGCTAGTACTAAACCATACGAACATAGTGAAACACTTAGATCGAAGGTTAGGACTGTTGATTGCATATGGGTGATCGAACGTTGGAGCTTTTGGTGTTTTCAGGCGTATCAGTATTGGCTGGAGGACTAATCTTATTCAATAGGGTATTTTCATTTTTCAACCTATCAAACGCTAATCCATCTTGCCATCCAAGTCCTGGTGATCTGCTTAGCCTCATCGATCAGACCAAGGTCCAGTAGCATTTGGACAGTACCACGCGTAGAGCTCTCAAGAGCACTAAAAACCCACGAATGCGTGAAACTGGTGTGTTCGCCGATGAACACTGTGTTGAACTCAGTCTGCCAGAAAGCTGGCAGGTAGAGCTGCTGCTGAGGGACAATGGGGACGGCAAATGCTCCTGCATGATGCTCATCCTGTTCCCAACAGTGACGCTCGTAGTTGCCGGTCCACATCTCATCAGCAATGGGACCGTGGATCTCGACCATGGCTCGCTGGATGTACGCGATATGCTCCTCGACGGGCATGGAGCACGCGACCACCGCGTCTGCGTCGGGCGCATAGCTAGTGAGCATTACGCCAGGCCCGGTTCCGTTGATGTTGTAGGATGGGTAGCAAATCTGGCCGATGCCGTAGATGTCGGTGCGCCCACAGCCACCGATGATGGGGTGCTCTAGGTGCTCCCAGAAGCGAGTCTTATACTGCATGGCGACCTTCACAGCACCGAGAAAGACGGTGCGCTCGGTGGCGCGGCGCATCAAGCTGGAATGAGGCGGGAGCTCCCAGTACTTGAGCACGTTAAAGGGTACGCTGTTGAAGACGTAATCGAACTGTTCGGTTGTAGTGTTCTTCGACCAGGGGTTGCCCCCGGTCTCGCGCCAGGTGACGTTGAGGTTGTTGGAATCCTCGTTGTACTTGACGCCAAAGACCTTCGCCTTGTAGGCGATGCGGTCCTTGATGATGTTTTCAAAGGCCGCGGGAAGGCGGCTAATGCCACCATCAATGGTGCGCCACTCATTTGCCAGGAAGTAGACAGTCTCAAACTCCCACATAGGCCAGACAACGTGAGAAGGAGTAACCTCATCAGTCACGTTGAGATCAGTGTGCATAACGTGTAGCAGGTATTCGACTTCGGAAAAGTCGAACATGCCAGTCTCGACAGCCTCCCTGTGAGCCTTGAAGACATTGGTAGCGTAGAATTTACGTCTCTCGGGAGTTAAAGCTTTAAAGTCTTCAAGGGCCTGGATTGCTTCGTTGGCTGCAGTTTCATTAGAGTAAGTCGTGTTGGTCATGAGGGAGGGATCGGCCGCGATCTCCTTGCGACCCGGAACAGTGCCATCAGGCCGACGCTCCTTGGTAGCAACGGGCGCATTGTCAGAGATCTGAATCCAGGGGATGAATTTGACTTGCAGAGAAGAATCCGCGTCAGCGTTGATCTCGTTGAGAACGTCCGCCAGCTGGTAAATCATCTTCTGGTCGTTGATGGGATAAGTTTCGTTGGTTTCAGCGTCATATATGCTGTGTGGGAACCGCATAGGCCCAAGCTCATGGTGCTGGTGCTCTTCCGGAGTCGATCCATTCAAGTACGCGGTGCGAATACGTCCGCCAATCTTTTCTGAGGACTCCAGGATCTTCCAGTTGTGGATACCTACAGAGTCAAGTAGCAACTGCGGCTCTTGTCAGTTTCTCGCCCTCGCAGAGAAAGCTCTGAATTACTCACACCAGTGTGCAGACCGGAAATACCGGCGCCCAAGATGCCAAACGTCTTGTTCTTAACAGATGCAACAAACACCTCATCGGGTTGCTTCTGCTTGAGGTACTCAATACCATCAAACCACGGGCCCATCGGGTCGGTGGCCTCAGCGAAAGTTGCACGTCTCCTCATCTTACGACTCTTGACAGAGTGCTCTGAAGAACGGCCAACAAGCTGGCTGTCGATGAAGGCATGTAAACAACCCAAAGAGACATCTTCAGGCACCATCCAGACAAATTTGGTCGGCAGTTGATCTTTCCATTCCAAATGACGTTTCGCGGCAGGGTGAGATCCAATGTGTGTCCGTCCAATTTTGTGGTGAGCTTCGAAAGGAGTCTTCATCCCGCAGTCACCATAGACAATAGAGAGCTCTCCGTCGAGAGCCCTACTGTACTCAATGTTGATGTTGCGGACTCCATTTCTCTCGACTTCGAAGGGGCCCTGGAAGATAATCTTTTCGCGAAATACTGGTTCCGCAACAGCCGCCTGGCAAAGACTAGCTACTGCAGTGAGGAGGGTCGACCAACGAGCAGCCATGTTGACTGTGACAGACTTTGAGAACAAAATTTACAAAGATTTATAAGCCTGACGGACTCAATAGAGGCATTAATGAATGAATTTGCTCTTTATATGACTGCATGGCGATTGCAAACCACCCTTGACCATTGAAGAGGCTCAACCAAGTGAGGTTTTGATAAGCACCCTGATGGGCATATTAGAGGCTTGGCAGATCTTTAGATGCTGGGCATTATCTAATTAGATTAATATCAGTCCTGCCACGGAGGTTCTCGGGGAGGTCGGCTTTAGTCGAGTTTTCGTCATATTGCGTAGAACCGGTTACCAACTATCAGGGCCCAACTCCTCAATGAGTCCGAAAACGTGGGAGTTATGCCCGAAGACGGCGCAAGCGACCACAGAAAACGTGGATAATTTCTAATCACGCATAGGTCAGACTTCTCGTTTCTCTCGAGTTCATATCGTTGGTGTCTTGGCGGGAGGGACGTTGCATGGGCCCGGCCTTGTTTGCAATCCCGGCATCGGAACCGCGGGGAACCCCCAGCTTGCGAGACCCGAGTATCGGCTGTTGTGGTGTGTTATGCCGGCTTATCACAGATCCTTCTCGACCTTGCTCTCAAAGTTTGGCTTGCAGGGAAATGGAATCAGAGTTGCGTCGCGGTTATGGCGAATGAAGGCGAAAGATCAAAAAAAAAGAAGGCTGTGTAATGTACATATAGGGTACCACTCGCTGGAGGGGTGTTAGGGGTAATGAGTTCTGGTGCAACTCTAGAAAATGGGGGCCCCGTGGTGGATATCCGGAGACCCGATCCCCATTCTGGCAAATCAGATTTCCGAATGCTCCTGAAATCTGAGCCGTTCCTGGTTGCTAATATTTGGTGGATTCTCCTCTTGAATTGACATTGGAGTCTCACATGAGAATTGAGATCCTTTCACACTTGGGTAACCTCCGCCGAGTACAAAGTGTCGGTGCTGTGACAATAAGAGCGGTGTAAGTGTGGATCGCCGGGTAAATGTGTCAATTCACATTGCCATCGCCAAGACGACAAAATCGGGGTTGACAAGCCTAGATCTCTTGGCTAGAGATAACTTATCTTCATTGTCAGCAATTGCCGGCCGGATGCCCAGGAATGCGTTATTTCGAGAGATTCTCCTGCGCAAAGAATTGCATACATCATGGCACCGGCACGGTCCATCCTATCGTACCGGTCCGGATGACAAGGAGATACTCCCCACCTAATCTCGACAGGCAAGTCAGTCTAGTGTCCTTCCTCTGCTTCCATGATTACAGAAATAAATCAAATATGGCCGACGTCTCGCTTCAAATTGCCTTGAAGATACCGATGGCCCCTTAAGGCCCAGTTGGCAAAAATCATCTTGCAGAAAGTTGCTCTAACTTGGTGTCCAAATGCGGGCAAGGATTTGACCTGGCAATATAATCAAACAATCGGAAGTCTCTTACATTCCGATTGTTTGTTCTACCGAAGGGCACCGTATCATGGCTTTGTTATTGGTAATATTTGTGGCGTCCTATAAAGACAGGCCAACATTCATTTGCCACTCCTTGACGCCGAAAGGTTTTTTGGAGATTAATGCAAAAAAAAACACTATTTCTACTGTATGTGAATTTTATAAAGCTGTAGTTGGTCATGGAACGAATGGTACCTCCAAAAAGAATTGCGGAGACTGCTTTGAGAACGGCTGCACCTGTTCTTAGCATTCTTTATAACAAAAGGTGTAGATAAGTATTTCATATTACTGTGTGTTGCTATCAATCGAGAGCCGAGTTAGTTCGGAAGCTTCTCTTCTGGAGTGAACGCCAACAACTCTGGAAACTTCAACGTCGCTCATACAAAGGTGTCAAAAGATATCGCAAGAAGAGTCTCGACGGTGAATCGAGTTGTTAATATAGATACCCAACATCATTTGCCAAGACATCCTATCATCTGGCACTATAGCAACACTAAATATCTATTGGCTGCACGCGAGCGAGACCAAGATACATGAATCGGTCAAACTCTAGAAATCTTGGTATTAGATAACCACATGTGCAGTTTGGTCCGGAATTTCTTTTGAGTCATTCGCGACTTTGTAGGTGTGGTGATACCCCCGTGAAACCTCTGTGCAGAGGAGGCTCGGAAGCATATCTGAATATTGTGCAAGTTTTACTTGACTCCTAGGGCCCCATCAACACTCCAATCCTCTTCTTTCCAATACGAGAGCTTTTCTGTTACTGCAATTATCTAATTGAGGATTATGTCGCTTGGGCTGATTAGTTTCTGGTCTACTTTGAGGAGAACCGAGAGGCGCTGTCTTCTCGGGTTGGTGGCAACAGACGGCATCCTATCCAACCCATAGGCTGTCGGAAAGGACTAGAAGCTACATGTAGTGCAAAGTCATTTCATATCTCATCTATCTGGAAACCAAAAAAAAAACTAAACGAAAGAGTCCTTGAGAGGCATACAACCAGCCACACGTATGGGCCATGGCCTCCTTGGAATGCCTTGCACTTGTTTTCGATGTGCCTCAATACTCTCTACCTAGCCAAGTTTTTTGATCACAAGATCTACGGTCATCTGCTCGTATCGGCGGTGGCCATCCTACTTCAGGGTAGAAGTAGATGGCAAGGCTACACCAGACTGTGATTGCCCGTCTCTCACCATTGTCGCGCATTATGCTTGCATGTCAACAGATGCTTGATACAACCTGACTCTAATCCCTGTCACCTCTTCGGCGAGTTAATATAATGAAGTCATTAGACTTTAGCGTGAGATCATTTGCACATTGTCATGGAATGCATGTCAGTTTGCGAAACGTCTGGGAAAAAAGATCTGCAAACCCGCATTCAAATGAACAGCTGATGGTCACTTGCCTTTCAGTTTCTGTGATGGCTAGTAAAAGTCGGATATAGATGCCGAGATGACGAGATGGTCCCCAGGCTATGGATTGTTTTTCCAGAAACCACGAACCTTAAGCGCGGGTGTATTCGTCTGAAAAATAAAACTCGTTTCACTCCACCAATTTAAGCATGCTTTGGGTTTGTAAGATGGGGTGTGGCCCGTGAAAAGTTTACCATGGTTTCGTTTCATCATGCGAGATTTTCGGGAATCGTCAAGTGTTGCCGGTATGTCGTCGTAACATGGCGTCGCTTCTTGAGCACTAGAACAGGTGTCAAAGTTTGACAGTCGTCTTGTTCGAAAATTGGCAAGTGCCTTATTATCAGGGGTAGGTTTTGCGTGCGACATATTTGAGACAGAGAGCTGGGAGTATGTTTCCCTGCAGAACAAACATCAGACAAACATCCTCGACTTTATCTAAGCTTGCGAACAGCTTCTTTCCAAGCTTCTGAGATTTGTTGTGCAATGTGGTGCTAATACACTGGCAGGTTCAAATTTGTTCGCAGAAGCACGTTTCACGAGCAGCGGAAGCAGGAACGCAAATAGAAGAACTTATAGAACCATACTCCAGCTAGAGCAGGTAGTCGTGTCTCATTATCAGTAATCCAGTACTGTTACAGATGTGTGTTCCTTAAGACCATTCCACCATCTCAATCTTAGAATATGTGCAAAAGAATGACTAGATTTACTCCTCGTCCTCAAAGTCGGTGGCCTCCATGGCACGCTTCAGCATGCGCTTGAGCTGGCGGTCAGACTCAGCCACAGCGCGAGCGAGATTGCGGCGAGCAACAGCCGGGGTGTTGCCGGCCTGCTGCATCTGAACAGGGACGACACCGCCGAAGGGGCCGGCGCGAGCGGCGTTCTGGCAACGGACCAGGCAAACGTTGTTTTGGCCGGCGACAGTGCCAGTGCAAGCCTGACCAGCGGGGATCTCAGCCCTGAGGGGGAAGTCCTGCATGGCACCAGCCTATGTTTGTTAGAATCAGGTGCATTGGAGCGAGTTGAGTAAATTGCTTACGCGGTTGCGGGAATTCTGGCCGGGAACGGTGACGGGGACATTGACGTCGGTCCAGGTGGCGCCAGTGGCATCACTGTTGATCATGCAGGTGTAGGGACCAGCGCCGTCGCCGTTGACCTGGTGGACGGTCATGTCGATGGTGCCGCCAGCCTTGATCTGGGGAAGCTGGTCACCAGTGGCAGCCATGATGGCCTTGGTGCCAGCCTCCACGTCGTTGGTGCCACCACCGAGGGTCTCGCCGACGGTGTCAGCGCCCTCACCCTGGAAGCGGGTGGAATCAACCTGGTACGGTTGGCGCTGGGTTCCATCGCGAGGAGTTGAGAGATCAACACCGAGACCCATGGCAGTGCCGCCAAGCTCGCTGGAAGCTCCAATGATAGCACCGTGGCCAGCCACCAGATTGGCGGCGGCAAGAATGGCAGTGGCAGCGACGGCCTTGAAAGACATTTTGACTAATAGTTAGGAGATGATGAGATGGTGCTCCTAGCCAGAGGAGTGTAAACGAATAGTGTCCTACCGGAGGAGGTATTAGAACCGAAAGAGAGAAAGGACTGCTGAAAAGCTGATGATGTTGATGCTGATGCCGAGAAGAGAATGGTTGAAAGCTGGGAGGATTGGTCCGCTTTTGTAGTCGATATTTCACGATGGTGAGTCCACACTGACCGAGCATCTCGTACATCGCCTGCACAATCTGCCGTCTGGTACCTTACAATCCATGGAACCGGCACCAGCCCCAACATCAAGGATATTGTATAGACAGTAGACTGGAAAAGATGAGGCCAAACACCAGCGAGAACGACCGCATCTCGTGACGGAGACAAGTTCGAAACTGGGCCTTTTCCGACTCGGATCGTCGAGGAGGCTCTGTGGTATAGGAGACGACAAGGGGTCGAACCTTATCCAAGAGCCAATCGCATTATGGCTGCGTGTCCCCCTCGACGAGCAGGGAGGGGAAGAAACACTGTCGCAGATCAGAAAACGTTTGTCGCACATCCCTGAGAGGGAGAAGATGTTCCAGGATCTACGCCACGATTGTATTCAGGGCACTGAGAGAATGGTTCCCAGGTCAAACACACCTTTCTTGGTTGCACCGCACATCGGCTAGGCGAAAGGCCGTGCGGAGAGTCTGTGGAAAGGCGACTCAACAAAGGTGGTGCTTGCCTTGCGACGGCGACAACTCGAACCTGCGCTCGGCCACTGGCAACGTTCGTCCATACCTAGTGGTAGAGAGATCTGGGCGACTGGGAACAAAAGAAAAGACAGAGACACAGCGGTCTCTGACGGCTATCATCTCAATCTTCTGGAACAAAGGCACTTAAAGCCGCCGTTGCACTGCTGGTGAACTTCGACAGGGGGCGATTGGAAGTTAAGATGTCATGTTGACTTAATCATGCCCGTATTCGTTGTGCCTGACACCAATGCTCATTACCCTCTGCTTGCTGGTTTTTTACGGATGGGATATCGACATGGGACACGACGGATAGAATCGCAACAGGCAGAGAGGCGAGGTCCCTGCAGGACGCAGCGATGCTATGCATCTCAGCTGGGCGGGAGCTAACGCTTAGTGCCAGGCACGCCAGGGCAAGCTTCACAACCCACGTTGCTTTTCTCTGCCCTTTGGCGCGGCTCTCTGCCCCATTGGTCTTTTGGATTTAGACTTGACTCAGTCTGCCCAAGGTATCCACACAAATTAACATTCGCGCCACTCCGGATAGATGAGGGTTGGGAAGGGGGAGCAAGGAGGTAGCCGCCAGGACTACGAAGTAGGGAGGCAATGGAGGGCGGGACGGGCTTCCAACCTGGGAGGAGGCTGGGGAATTCGATCGCCCTCGATATAGCAAAGGAGACGGGCGGGGCGCATCGTTTCGTAGATCTTGTGAATCATTATTATTAGCAAATGAGCACGAAACCTAGTTAGACTTCGCATGAGCTGCTAGCGGTTTCCAGGCCCGTCCTTGCACCGCTAGGCGTTTCTCGTTTTTGAGGATTACCCATCAACTCCCGGGGGAGATCAGTCCAGGGCCAAGCATGATGTGATCTTGTCCACATGAACACTTCAAAATTCGGGGGTGGTCAGGGGCGATTCGGGTGCTTTCGTTGTGGGGATACCTGGGCAGGGAGTGTCGGTTGTCTTTTGCTCCGATGCAAGCATGGCAGTTCTAGACGTCCTGACAGGGAGCTGAGGGGCAAGTTGATACAACAGGGTATAGGACAGGCGCTGAGCTTGGATCAGGCAAACACGATCATCACGAAATAACTTTTGTACACACGTGCAGCTGGAGCCTTAGCCAATCCATGAAGATCCATGGAGAGGTGGACGGGGCTGGCTGAGTCGCCCGCGGTGATACGTGTTGTCCGTGCTTCACCACAGCACACCTGGAACAGGAGCTACTCGCCCCTGCTCGAATGGGACCGCGGAGAAAAAATAAGCTTGGCAAAAAGAGTTGTGTCAGAAACATAATAGAGTAATCGGGCCTCCACTCGAGCCGAAAGTGAGGAGATGCTTTCCAGGATCGCATTGGAGCATGGGGCACACAGAAAACCCCCGTAGGCTACTTTGGTTTGTGGGCGAAAGTTGCCTATATGCCATAAGGCGCAGCGCACCTTCTATCCGCAAGTCCCAGTCATTCTACGAACAAGCAACCGGGAGGTCCGGCTGATACAGGGACCGAGGAAGTGACGGCTGGATCTAAAAGATCAAGATCGACACACTTTAAGGCAAGCCTCCCAATTATAATGATGAGTCAACGATTGTGAAAAGGAAAGCATGTAAGGACGGAGCATTTTTGCCGCCCTTTGTGGCATTCGCATTGCTGGGCTTCTTCCTCGCCTCTCCGGCTCGGAGCCGAGAGCCGGATATGTGGACCCACTCCTTCGGCCGATTCGGCCTTCCGTGGTGGATACTTCCGTGGTGGACCTCCCCATCTAAGCGTCCGCCGCCATGATTTCCCTCTTTCATAGAACACTAATCTGCCTTCCCGCAACTGCGATGCTTGCGTAGATCCATCATCTCGTGGCAAACCAATCGCAATTCAGCGGATGATGTGCAAAGGTGGTTTAGGGATGGTTCTCCAGCCACAGTACGTAGGCCTCGCGACTCGCACCAGGCCCGCCGCGCGCACGAGACCTGACGCGCCCCTGACGCCGCACGCGAGTTTGATCTTCCCTGCCAAGCTGCCAAGACACCTCAAATCCGCCTTATCCTGAGCCTTACTCAGGTGCAGTGTATAAACTCGTTCGGGGGGG